GAAAAGCTAACATAACCTGCTTTGGGTTCTTTTACTATTACAATAAAATTATATAGTTTCAGAAAAAGGTGTATATATATATATATGTAACTAAATTTTGTAATGTTTACTTTGTACATACAAATCTATATTTTGCAATAATATTAAAATCATCGCAAATTGACTATAGTACGGAAAAATACCGTACCGATATTAGATTAGTACTAAACTTGAAAAAATCACACATTTCTATTTTGTGTAGTGAAAGTATACGTTTTATTGATTAAAGATACTTTACAACATTATACGTAACAAATAAAAATTGTTTAATAAAATAATATTGACTCGTATTTAAAATGACGGCAATATTAGGAGCAGGTATATCTGGCTTGTCAGCTGCATATTATGCTCTTCAAAATGCGAAAATGGTTCCTATTACTATATATGAAGCTACAAATCGTGTAGGTGGTTGGATTCATTCTATAAAATTACCCGATGGTACAATTTTTGAGCAAGGTCCACGGACAATCAGACCTTCAGGTGAAGGTGGAAAAAATACGTTAGAATTAATGGAACAATTACAATTATCAGATAAAGTTGTTCCTATTCTAAGTAGGGATCCTGCATCCAAGTGTCGTTTAATATATACCGATGATCAGTTACATTTATTACCTAATAGTATCAAAGGCATTATAAGGAAAAATACCCTGTTAGATCGTTCTTTACTTAGCGTTGTATGGAATGATTTAAGAGCGCCAAAAGTTGTTAAGGATGATGAGAGTATATATAATTTTGTAGAAAGAAGATTAGGCAAAGATGTAGCAGAAAAGTTGATTAGCTCAATTGTGGTAGGAGTCTGTGCAGGTGATTCGCACAAATTAAGTGCAAAGTCATTTATGCCTTCTTTGTTCGAAGCTGAACAAGAATATGGATCTATTGTCAAAGGAACAATAGCAAGAGCATTTAAAAATCGCAAAAATAATGCTAAATTAAAAGAAAAAACTGAATCAATGAAAAAAAATAATTCTCAAATAAATGAAAAGTCACATAATATAAAAATGAGTTTAATAGAAAGAGCTAGAAAAGAAATGTGGTCAATATGGACTATAAAAGATGGTATTGATCAATTACCAATATCACTAGCTAAAAATATAACTGATCATGGTGTCAGTATTGAAACAGAACACAGATGTGAACAACTTAAATTTAGTAAAGACACTGTAGAATTAACTGTAAATGGAGAAGTGAAACAATATTCAAATATTATTTCAAGCTTACCAGCAAAAAATTTAGCTAGTCTTGTGCAAGCTCAACATCCAGAATTAGCTAATGAATTAAGAAGCATACCTACTGTGACAGTAGGTGTTGTGAATCTTCAATTTCCTAAAAATGCCTTACCCATGACTGCATTTGGAGTCTTGATTCCACCAAGAGAAGAAAGACCAATCCTAGGAGTGATATTTGACTCATGTGTTGTTCCTCAAAAATCTGATGCAACAGTATGTAGAAATTGGAATTTTTATTACCTGTTTATTTTTTTAAAGCTTCCACAAATCATACCATACTTTATATATTAACCTCTTGGTTCTTTATACTAAATTGTAAAAGTACTTTGTAACAATATCAAATGGATTTTAATATTTAAATGATGTTTTGTGACTATTTAATGAATTAGAAAAATCTGTAGGAATTAAATATTTATAATTGTTATAATCCAGGTACTGACTGTCATGATGGGAGGCGAATGGTTTGAGAAATACTTTGGACAGTGCTCATCTGATGAACACTTGTTGACTGTAGCAGTCAACCAAGTACAGGAAATCTTACACATTGAGGAAGATCCCACAGTTTTCAATGTTTCCATTTTGAAGGATTGTATTCCGCAGCACATAGTAGGTCACATGCAACGCTTAACCCGCATCCGCAATTATATCTCCACGCATAAAATTCCTTTAGGGTTGTGTGGCTCTTCATACCAAGGAGTAGGACTGAATGATGTTATTCTGTCAGCAAAACAAGCTGTTTCTGATATAAATTCACATATATTGTAATTTAATAAAGATCAAATGCAGCTTGGCCAGGCAAACGTTGCAGTGCTTTCCTCTATGATTAAAAAAGAAACCAAGTCACATATACACACACATATATATATGTATATTCTAATATCAATGTAATTACAGCTATCAATCCAAAATAATATTTAAACTATAAATTGTATATAATACATGCAGTATTTAATACATATTGCATAATAAAAATTAATAAAGCAAATATTAACTTATTAAAGGAAATATACTTAATATACTTAAATATAAAGAATTTAATATTAAAATAATTAATAATGTTATAGTAAAT